CAGTTTTGTATCTCGGGGGTTTTGCTTCCTCAAGGTCCCAAGAGGCAAGCGGTATCTGCCGCTGGATGTTGCTGATGCTTCCCTTTACAGCTCCTAAGATTAGAGTGGTAACAAGCCCTTCTCCCCCCTTGGGGCTAGCAGGAAGTGCCCTGTGCATGTCCCTGCAGCTGGAAGGGCGATCCTTGCAGAGCATCAGCTGTCAAGGCGCATGCCTTAAAAGCATCACTGCCAAACAGGCTAATGGCCTCCCCAGACAATGCCCCTCTTGAAGCCTCTGCAGACGGCTCTGTTGCCGATGAGCAGGGGGGCCATGACAATGGGATGCGTTTGTGTGCAAAGAATAGCGGGCGACCGCCCACCCCTCTTGCCTTTTCCCTTCCCTATTCATTTTTGGAGTCAAGCCTCTGTCTGTTTGGAGAAGACTATTTGCGTACCGCAGGGGTCAGGGCAGAGGTTGGCACCATTCTTGGCTCCCTTGGGAGACAGCCTCCGACTCCTTCCTGTGGGAACCACAGTCATGGCCGGAGGTCCTCCAAGAAATCAGCGACGACAGACGCTCCTTCCCGGAAGGACAAACTGCGCACACCCCTATTTTGTCCTCAAAAGGGATATTGGGAAAGGCTCAGAAGAGGGCAACCAGAACGGTCAAGGGGTTGGAGCAGCTCCCCAATGAGGAAGGTCACAGTATTTTTAGTTTGGGGGGGGGAGCCAAGTAAAGTGGCGAAGGCATGATGGATGGGGTTGAGGAGAAAGTCAGTGGATCTCTGTCATAAAGCTAAAACTCGGGGCCATTCAATGAAGACAAACGTTGGAAGATTCAGGAGAGACAAAAGAAAGCAGTTTCTTCATGCAACGTAGAGTTAAAACAAGGGGATTCGCTCCCGCAAGGTGTTGCGAAAGCCACCAAGCTGCTATCTGGAGATTCCAAGGATTGGACCTGGGACTTTATGCATGCAAAAGCATGATTCTCTACCACTAAGCTATGAGCCTTCCTCCTGGGTTCCTGCATCCAATGGTTTTCTCAAAGCACAGGAAGTCATGTGCCTCCTCTTCAGCAAGCATGCCCAAGTCGCTGCAGTGAACGCTGCAAGAACAGCCCCACCCATCTCAGTGGCTTCTGCGGTTTTAACCTCTCCTCCACTGAGCCTGGGAACAGGCAACAGCAGCGAGCACGGCTCTGGAGAGGCAGCTAGGAATGTAAGGCTGGCTCTGCGCCACAGCTGGCCTGTGGTTCCGCCTACTTTCGCCCAGGTGCGCCACAAACTTCTGCAGCCTCTGTCACCTGTTGGCCCCTTGCTGCAGATTGGCTACTCGAACTTTAGGGCACTTGGCTCCGTCCGCAGTACAGTAGCACCTCAGCTTACAAACCCAGGAATGTTTCACTACGCGTGCATGCGCAGAAGCAGTCCTTCCAGTTGCGGAAACCTCGGGATCCAACCAGAGCTCCAGAACGGATCCTGTCCGCAACTGGAGGTACCACTGTATACATTTAAAGCAGTGTTATACCACTTTAAGCAACCATTTAAAAAAAGGTAAGGGACCCCTGGCAGTTAAGTCCACTTGCGAATGACTCTGGGGTTGCGGCGCTCATCTTGCTTTACTGGCCGAGGGAGCCTGGGTTTGTCCAGAGACAGATTTTCCAGGTCATGTGGCCAACATGACTAAGCTGCTTCTGGTGAAACCACAGCAGTGCACGGAAACGGCGTTTACCTTCCTGCCAGAGTGGTACCTATTTATCTACTTGAACTTTTTGGCGTGCTTTCGAACTGCTAGGTTGGCAGGAGCAGGGACTGAGCAACAGGAGCTCACCCCATCGTGGGGATTTGAACAGCTGACCTTCCAATCGGCAAGCCCAAGGTTCAGTGGTTTACACCACAGCGCCACCAGCGTCCCCTTAAGCAACCATAGCTTCCTCCAAAGAATGACTGCAGGTGTCACTGGACCACAACTCCCACCATCCCCTGATTAATGGCCATGCTGGCTGCTGGGGATGATGGGAGTTGTAGTCTAACAACATCTTGGAGGGGGCCCCACCTCTGGTTTAGGTAAGAGTGCCAAGGCTTCTTCTGCTTGTAGACGTGACCCAAAAGGAGGAAACTGAGCTGGGCTATTATTTCCCTCCAGCATAGGTGTGCAGTCGTGTGACAATGCCTCTACTTTTCGATAGTTCTTTGTTGCCTGCCATACAGGTGTTGCAGGTGCAGGAGTCTTGCTAGATGAGGAAAGAAATGTTGGCAACCCTGCCAGATGTGAGGGGAAGGTGGAGATCATCCCTAACAACCCTCACCTGGTTTCTTGGATTTTTCTTAATTATACATATCGGGGAGAAATAAGCTGTGTTCACCCAGGTGTGTTATGGGACTATGACTTCTGGACCACTGCTCTTGCTGCTTGGGGCAGATGGGAGTTGTAGTCCAACAACATATGGAAGGCCAAAGGTCCCCCACATCTGGTTGTGTGTGTGTTTGATGAAGCCAATGTTCTGCTCCTCCTGCCTGCTAAGAGACTCTATCAGTACACTTTCTAATTTCCTTCCTGAGGTAGCTACAGTGGTACCTTGGGTTAAGTACTTAATTCATTCCGGAGGTCCGTACTTAACCTGAAACTATTCTTAACCTGAAGCACCACTTTAGCTAATGGGGCCTCCTGCTGCTGCTGCGCCGCCAGAGCACGATTTCTGTTCTCATCCTGAAGCAAAGTTCTTAACCTGAAGCACTATTTCTGGGTTAGCAGAGTCTGTAGCCTGAAGCGTATATAACCTGAAGCGCATGTAACCCGAGATACCACTGTACTTCCCAAAGGGAGGAAATGCAGCATCATAATTAAAAAGAAGGCACAAGTTTGCATCTGCCAATTTACATGAACAGATGCAAATTTAGAAGCAATTGCTTCAGATTAAACAGAAATTGGCATTGCTCCACAGTGAGGAAGACTGACCTGTGTGCAGCTGCTCAAGCTGCTCTCTAGGTGCTCACGGCTGACGGGCAACTTTGCGGCCTTTTCTAGGCAGCCTACACCCCATAGATACGAAGTTCATATGCCACCACCCCTGGCAAAGAATCCTGGAAACTGTAGCTCACAGAGCTATAACTCCTAGTACGCCAATTCTCTTTGGGTGTTGTGTGCAGCCTTGTTCTCCCTTCTTGGGGCTCTTTATCCTTAAGCCAGGATTGGACCCAACAGCCTTTCAAACTGAAAACTGTAATCTGTAAAGAAGGAGCTGTAGCTCCCAAGCTTTTGCAGCGGGGTGTTTTTTTTAATGCCCCTTCCTTGGGGAATCTCAAATAACACCCCAAGGCTTCTCTTTCTCACTCATCCACCTGGCCCAAGCATGGCTTTGCCAGTCTCAGCCTAGATCTCCCTGACAGAGCTATGATCCCCAGAGCGGTTTAACAATCAATCCCTCTTCTCAGCTCCGTGAGAGGAATAGGGGCTTCCTGGCAACTCTCAACATCCCCGAGTGCACATTCAAGAGGCCCCTACACGGGTGTAACACAAGTGCATTCCTTGACAAGTCGCACAATGGATCGCTGTCAGAAGCATGGGTCCACTTTAAGATAGAAGAGAGTGCCAGCATGAATGATGAACTGGGAGCCCTGGGTTCAAATCCCGGCTCATGATACTCAATGGGTGGCTTTTGGGTGACACTGCCTCTCAACCCAACCAAACTCGCAGGGTTCTTGAGAGTATAAAATGGGATTGCCATGAATATGTGCTAAATGCGGAGAGGGCCAACGAAAAAGACACATGGAGCCGCCGCCACCCCATGTGACAATCCTCCCCCTGACATCATTGTGCTCTGAATCTCGCAGCACAAAGTAATGTGCTTTCGGATATGCTCTCGATGCGCAAGGGGGGAGGAGGAGGAGGAGGGAGGGGAGGAGGAGAACCTTACTGCTGTTGGAATTGGCAGTCGGAGTAGACAGGTGGGGGAGAAAGAAGAGACAAGCCGTCACTCCAGAATGCAGCAAACACTTCCATCAGAAAGATAACACAGGTAAAAAAAAAAAAGCCAGGATTGGTTATAGCTCCCTGTCTGGTCTCCAAGGTGCCCTAGAATACGGAAGAAGGCTCCGAGATCACCTTTGAAGCTATGTCTTCCACACACAAACCCAGCACAACGGTGTCGCACTAGAAGTCTGGAGTCTCAGCCAGCAGAATAATCAAAAGGGAGGAGGCTGGCTTGCTGGCTTACCACATTTTGAAGTAATGGCCATTGCCTTCTGAAGTGCGAAGGAGGGGAGCTCTCCAAGGCCATTAAATGCCTAACCTCCAATGACCTAAGTGCCCCCTGCCGGGTGATCCCCTCCTGCATCCTCCTTCCCACAGTGGCAAAGAGCAAAGCAGGGAAGCAACAGCCAATCCTCTCTCATGGTTTCCAAAAGCAGGGCTGTCCAGCAGCATCCTCTCCTGCTTACAGGCTTGCCGCAGGCACCTGTCAAGACCAGGGCACTGGACCAGGCAGGCCACTGGCCTCGTCCAAGTACCAGGCTCTGTTCTGATGCCTAATCCCTTCCTTCGAAGACGAAAAAAGCCATCTCCTCTTGTGGCAGCGAGTTCCAAAGCCCATAGCTTTCCTTAAGTAACAACGATGGCGGCAAACAGTTTCACAGCAAGCTGCCCTGACCTGGTGCTTTGCAAAATCCACTCCCCCTGCCCCCCCCCACTTAATCTATTTATTAAATTTGTATACTGCCCTATACCCGTAGATCTCAGGGCAGTTCACAACATAATATCGCAGAATATAAAAAAAGAAAACTGGCCAGCTTTTACACTGTTCCTATAATCTATTTTAACTGTTTTGAAATATGAATTTTAGATTGTAACCCAGCCTTGGAACTGCTGGAGAAGGACAGATATTGTGTGTTGTGTGTATATATATATATAATAAATAAAATGTGTGTATCGGCCTTCATCCAAAGATCACTGGGCGATTCACAACGTATTGATAGAAATCATCCATCATCATCAGTAATACCACCCGCCACTTCCCTCCTCACCTGCGGCTCCACCAGCCATCTCTCTTCCCCGCTCTGGCCGCCTCCGGTGTACAGAAAAGCCGCGTAAAGGGGGATCCTGTCCCGCGTGCTGTAGAGGGTGGCGAAGCGCGGCTCTTGGTTGTATTTCTGGCAGATCTTCACGTGCTGGTCCCCGGGCTGCCCCGGGAGCCCCTCGGGGGGTGTCCGCTGGTAGAAGAAGCCGTCGCAGTCTCCGAAGCTCGCGGCTTCTTCGCCTCCCTTGGTGGCCAACACCTCGCCCTGCGCCCAGCCGGCCAAGGCCAGCGCCACGGCCGCCAGCAGAGGCAGAGAGGTCCGCATCTTCCCTGCGCAGTGCCGAGGATTGCCTGAAGTTCCTCCCGGGCGAGGAGAGGATGCGATCCGCTTGGCTCTTCTTGGCAGGGGAGGGGAGAGGGCGAGACCAGACGCTGCTGCGACAGAGGCACGCGGGTGTGTGAGTGTGTGTGCGCGCCTGGGCGCGCGGCGCAGCCTTTAAAGGAGGGAAGTGAAACCCGAAACCGCAGGCAGGCGCGAGGAGCCTCTCCGCGCGCAGCGCCAACACGTGGTGACACACGCCACAAAAGCGAAAATGGGCGCTCTGCACGCGCTCAGAGGCGTGCAGGCCGCCGATCGGGAAGAGGGAGGGAGGAAGGGGAGGGGAGGAAGAAAGATCCCGAGTTATTGCCTCCCTTACGTCACTAGATCAGCGCCAGGCTATCTTCCTCTCTCTTTTTGGCTCCGGGCCACGGCTGGTGTCAGGCGGAGGGAGAGGAAGAGATAGGATGGGTGGAGAGAGGACCGCATTGCAGTGGGGATCCCCAGCACCAGCACGCCTTTCGGGTGGCTCGGCCAGACTCTCCTCCCCGCGCGCCCATGCAGCACCCTGCCCGCCCGGCCTGCCACCCACTTAGGGGGAAAGAGAGACGAGGCTGCAGCGGGTCAGTGGCTCCGGCTAAGCCGATCATGGCGCGCTTGCGACGCCCTTCTCCAGCCAGCGGGTCACAGGGAGGGGTTTTTACGCAGCAGCAGCGCGCTGGTTTTGCGCGCAGTGGCTGAGCAGCAAAATGCCCACCCCCTCCATCAAAGTCAAGGTGGCCCAAGGCTGGAGAAGGTGCTTTGGCACCCGAGGCAGGAAAATCCCACAGCCAGGAGCCCTTTCTCTTGTCCAGGTTATAAAAGTGCAATAATTATAATAAAATAAATAAGTAGCAGTTTGCTGCTCTTGCATGAAACCTGAAATCAGCTGCCTGGGGCGGCGGTGGAAAAGGATTCTACTAAGGAAGCTGCCTTAAACCGAGTTAGCTGTCTAAGTCCATCAAGCTTTGTATTGTCTGCACCAGGAGTAGGCAACCTAAGGCCCGTGGGCCGGATGCGGCCCAATCGCCTTCTCAATCCGGCTCACGGACGGTCTGGGAATCAGCGTGTTTTTACATGAGTAGAATGTGTCCTTTTATTTAAAATGCATCTCTGGGTTATTTGTGGGGCATAGGAATTCGTTCACCCGCCCCCCCCCCCCAATATATACAGTCCAGCCCACCACATGGTCTGAGGGATGGTGGACCGGCCCACAGCTTAAAAAGGTTGCTGACCCCTGGTCTACTCTGACAGGCAGCACCTCTCCAAGGTTTCAGGCAGGGATCTCTCCCAGTTCAATCTGGAGGTGGCTAGGATTGAACCTGGGACCTTCTGCTTGCAAAGCATGCAATATATTACTGGACTGCAAGCCATCCCCCAATATTAGGGCTGGGAGCGTTTATTTTTTATTTCACTCTGCACCCTATCCATTATAAGCCTCAAAATGTGCTGTGTATGCACCATACATTTAAAGCACAACTCACACCCATATCACGGAAAATGTGAATTGTAGATTCCTCACCGGAGCTACAATTCCCAGCACCCTTAACAAACTACAGTTCCCAGGATTGTTGTGTGTGTGTGTGCAAATCCTATCGCAAGTTGTGCTGATATGAGCTGCTTAGGATGTGGTGGGTCTCCGGCTCAGTCCACTCACCCCTGGCTCAGCTGGTGTTCAATCCCGAACCCTGGTTAAGCTAAAGATACATCAGCGTATCTTTATGGTGGACCATAAAGAAGGCTGATCGCCGAAGAATTGATGCTTTTGAATTATGGTGCTGGAGGAGACTCTTGAGAGTCCCATGGACTGCAAGAAGATCAAACCTCTCCATTCTGAAGGAAATCAGCCCTGAGCGCTCACTGGAAGGACAGATCCTGAAGCTGAGGCTCCAGTACTTTGGCCACCTCGTGAGAAGAGAAGACTCCCTGGAAAAGACCCTGATGTTGGGAAAGATGGAGGGCACAAGGAGAAGGGGACGACAGAGGACGAGATGGTTGGATAGTGTTCTCGAAGCTACAAACATGAGTTTGACCAAACTGCAGGAGGCAGTGGAAGACAGGAGTGCCTGGCGTGCTCTGGTCCATGGGGTCTCGAAGAGTCGGACACGACTAAACGACTAAACAACAACAACACATCTGCGTAACTTGTTCACCTGGGGCTCAGCAAGCCTGGCTGAGCCAAGGCTGGTGGAAGTCCCCCAAAAAGGAACATTCAGAGGGGCAGAACCAGAAAGCAGGGATTTAAGCTGGATCCTAAAACCATTCAGCATGCTCACATGGCCTGGCAACCTAAGAACACTGTTTTAAAGGCTTATTTTCCATCTGCCAGGCTTAGGCAGAGCAAACGCAGCCACCTTGCTGCTGAATCTGGCGTTAACTTTACGCAGGTTTAACTTACACCAGTTTGCTTCACACAAGCTTCTTGTGCATGAGATTGCTTTCTATACCGTTAAGGCACAATCAGAGCACATTCTCACCCTCAAAGAATTCTGGGCATTGTAGTTCATTAAGGGTTGTAAAGGTAAAGGTAAAGGTACCCCTGCCCGTACGGGCCAGTCTTGACAGACTCTAGGGTTGTGCGCCCATCTCACTTAAGAGGCCGGGGGCCAGCGCTGTCTGGAGACACTTCCGGGTCACGTGGCCAGCGTGACATCGCTGCTCTGGCGAGCCAGAGCCGCACACGGAAACGCCGTTTACCTTCCCGCTAGTAAGCGGTCCCTATTTATCTACTTGCACTTGGAGGTGCTTTCGAACTGCTAGGTTGGCAGGCGCTGGGACTGAGCAACGGGAGCGCACCCCGCCGCGGGGATTCGAACCGCCGACCTTTCGATCGGCAAGCCCTAGGCGCTGAGGCTTTTACCCACAGCGCCACCCGCGTCCCATTAAGGGTTGTGGAGAACTGTAACTGAGAAGGGTAAACTAGAGTTGACTTTGCTCCCCACCGCCTTTGCAGTCCTCCCTATCCGCTTTTCCTTTTGTGAGGTGTGTGTGCAGGCAGAGACTATATTGTTTTAATAGGGGGTGAAACTTAATTGCACTGTCGCGTGTCATTTTAGGAGGGGGTGAACCTTAATTTTTGCACATTTCTTCTTTGAGGGGTCTTAAAAATAAGTTCTAGCATGTGAAGAATTCAAATCTGCTATTATTTGTGTGACCGGACAACATTTAGCTCGGTGCGTCTACATCTGATGAAGAAGCACATAAACTGCTTTTGGGAAACCAAAGGATTGTAATTTTACCTTCTGAAAATGCCAGGTAATGCTACATCATCATCATCATCATAACTGCAAAACTGGCAATTATTTTAATGATTTCCGTGCAATTTTACTTACAAAGCAAAACCACAGTATATTAGTTTAACCAGAATATATTTTGAATTCCCAAGCCATATTACAACTTTTCAGCACCCGGCCTGTTCGGAATTCAAAAGTTGATAAATTTAACACGCCCTAATTTAATTCATTGCTTGTAAGCCTCACCGTGAGGCTTTTGGGCTGAAAAGTGGGGTCAAATGCTCTAAATCAGCATTTCCCAAAGTGGTCAGGCTTGGGCCCCTGTGGTCAGTGGAGCTGCTCAGGGGTGAAGAAAGACCTAGAGGTTGAAGGGGGGCCAAAATGGGGGAAATGCTTATGATGTATAGTGTGAATAATTTAATTAGGAACTAATTATCTCAGGAACAGTGCCGGCCCAACCATAAGGTCTGGTAAGGTGACTGCCTCAGGCAGCGGATCCTAATGTATATTTTTATCCCTCCCTCGTTCCTGACGTAGATCTTTCCCCACCCCTTCTTCCCTGGTGAGAGGAAGGTGCAATTCTGTGGTTCACCACAGGTGCCAAAATGTTTTGTCAGGAATAAAGAGCATAGGCATGTACAGAATGCACCTCTATTGCCAATGAGAACTGCTTGTATTTAATAGGATGGTTCCACAATACAACTGCTTTGTTTATTTCTTCTATACTATGATTCCTGCTTATGTTGGTCGGTGATTAATCTATGTTGATTAGATAGTGATACTTCTTGGCTTTTCATTCCTAAGAATTTGGGTTGGGGTCAACAACAAATTTATCAGCTCATTAAGGGGTTGATGAACTCAGAAGGTTGGGAAACGTAAAGGTAAAGGGACACCTGACCAGTCCAGTCGTGACAGACTCTGGGGTTGCAGCGCTCATCTCGCTTTACTGGCCGAGGGAGCCGGCATACAGCTTATGTGGCCAGCATGACTAAGCCGCTTCTGGCGAACCAGAGCAGTGCACGGAAACACCATTTACCTTCCTGCCAGAGCGGTACCTATTTATCTACTTGCACTTTGACGTGCTTCCGAACTGCTAGGTTGGCAGGAGCAGGGACCGAGCAACAGGAGCTCACCCCGTCACGGGGATTCGAACCGCTGACCTTCTGATTGGCAAGTCCTAGGCTCAGTGGTTTAACCCACAGCGCCACCCACGTCCCTCCTTGATGTAAATGAATTAAACAAAGTACTATATGCCAAGCATCTGCCGGGGCTTTTAAAAAATAATGATTCTTTTGTTCACAGAGAATCTTGCACTGTGGTAGGGCCCATGACAGCAGAGAAAGTGTGAATGGTTTATGTCTAGTTCTGGATTCGTTCTGGAACCAACCTCTAGACTAAGTACTTCCTTGCTCATTTCACTGGTTGCTGGGTCAATCTTGGCACTTTGGATGTTGGCACTAATTGCATTCCTCATCAAAGCAAGTGGGGAAGGAAGAATGAAGTATTAATTACGGTGCAATTAATGAGTAACCTGCGCTGAATGACAGTACAACACAGCTGATTCAGGCATGCATGTGTGTTGCACAGCATCCCATAACTCAGTGACTTTTCCTCTGGTGACTTGGCCCTAGCTGTGTTGAGTGGCCTGCATCAAATGGTTGGAATTTTGAAGTGGATGTCAGATCATGTTTGGTTCATGATGACAGCTTCAGATATGGAAATCATCAACATCAAATGTGGCCCTCTCACCAGAACATACCCCTTGGACTCCAGAGTATTTTCAAAAAAATGTGTGTGCGTCCGCTTCCAACAAGTCTCTCCCCTAGCTTATGTTTAAAATTTATTGAATGCAAAATGGAGGAAAATCCTGCTTGCTTTTTTGTGATTAAGGTTAAGAACAGTTTCAGGTTAAGAATGGACCTCCGGAACGAATTAAATACTTAACCCAAGGTACCACTGTAAATTTCTAAAATGTAAAGTTTGGACTCTATGCCTGTCTGTATCCAGATCCTTCCCCACACCTGGGAGATAATTCTCTGTAATCTGAGACACAAGAAGCTTATTATAATTAATCTGTTGTGGTGTACTCTGCACATGAGCAAATATTATTATTTAACATTTTCAGGACAGCCATGCATTGTAGATATGTTCTCCTGAGCAATGATGTGTCCCGGCCTGAATGACACAATAATTTCTGGTCTGCTTTGAACCACTTTAATTCTATCCAATTACAGGAAATAGGAACATGGGAAGTTGCCTTATACCGAGTCAGAATTTTGGTCCATCTAACTTAGTACTATCTACACTGATTGGCAGCGGCTCTCCAGGTTTTCAGACAGGAGTCTGTTCCAACCCTACTGGAGATGCCAGGGATTGGGACCTTCTGCTTGCAAGTCAGATGCTCTAACATTGAGCTATGGCCTTTCTGAC